AAAAAGACCAAAAAAAAAAAAAAAAGAATCCCTGGAGTTTACTCCATGCTTAAAACACATGGGTGTCGTGCAATCATTTTCTCACAGTCTGTTAAACCCAAACTGTGGTCAAGAAGTGACAAGTGTAGGCAGTGGGTAAATGTGCTAAAAGGACTCACAGAGTTCCTCAGTTTAGGAAATGGGGGTTCTGAGGCACTTCTGCTGACAGCGTGGGTCAGGCAGGACAAAGGGACAAACCAACTTACTTGCCATCTGCTAAACTAAGACCTCGGAAGACTGGCTGAGCTGGGGGTTGTGGCCATCCAGTTTGGTCCTCGTACAGAAAGCGGACCGGTCGGCCAAGCTCCAGGCCCAGCTGTTGGATACCCTGGGCACTGTACAGGGTCAGGAGAGGAGCCTGGAGGCCAGGTCGGGTCCGGACAACAGTCAGCAGTGAGAAATCTTTGGGAAAACCTCCTGGTACCCAAGAGAGAAACACGGAGTGAGAAGCAAAGAGATCTTGGTGACACCAACACAGGCCTCACCTTACCACCTCCCATGCCTCAGCAACCCATACCTGGGAAGAGCTGGCGGGTGGGGGCACTAAGCTGGGCAGGTCGTGACACTCGGTAGGCCACATCGGCTGGACAGATCCCTTTTGCCTTCCGCACACCATCAGGGAGGGAGGGGAACCTCAGGGCACGTAACACATCCACAGAGGGTGTACCTGGGAGAGTCCATGAGGGTCAGGGGACAGAACATGCCCCCAGGAGGGTCTAATCAGAGGGTACCTGGATCTAGACCTCAGCTTCCCAGGGCTCTCTGGAAGAAAAAGGTCACCTCTCCCTTGCATTCTCCTGAAGGGGGCTATGGAAGGGAAGGACAGTGACCTGGAGGGAAAAGCAGCCCTGCCTGGCACGCAACTCCATGCCTGCTCTTGCCCTCCCCATCCCAGCATGCTGCTCAGACTCACTCTATCTCTGTCTTGGAGTCTGTAAATCTCTGCTAAGATTTCTAACTTTTGCTCTCTGCCTTCATCGGCCTCCCCTCCCTCTCTGCCTCCAGTCTCCCATCACTGCACCTGTTCACCTCTCTGACCAACTCTCTTCTGTCTTCCTGTCTCCTTTGTACCCTGTCCGTCCTTTTACTCTCCTCTTTTTCTTACTCCTTTTCCATATCTCCCAGTCTAGGCTTCCTGGCATCTGTTCCATCTCAGCACAAACAACATCTGGGCAATCGATCATCTTGGGCACAGGAGGGGCAGGGAGCCGCCGGCGAGAGGCAGCTGTATGAAAGGGAGCTTCCAGCTGCTGCAAAGACTTGGGGTGGAGGTGGGGGACAACCCTCTGTGTGCTAAGGAAGAAGAACAAGTCGCCCAGAAGCCTGAATCCCCAGGCTTGGAAAGGGGAAAGAGGAACTGAAGCTGCCACCAGAGCAGGAGCAGATCCAGGGACCCAAGCCACACTTCTGTAGATCCCATCACAGCACTTGTCCAGACCTCAGGCAAGCTCCTACACCTGGAATCTCAGGCCTACCCTGCCATGCCCCCAATCCAAAGATTCAAGATGCAGGCCAGCAGCCATGTCTCCCCAGATCTCAGCTTCCTGGGCCCAAACTCCGTGGATAGTAAAAGGCCACTGGCCCTTGGTTCAATCCAGGCTCATTCCCCAGGAATACACATTTCTCACACCATCCACTCCATACTAGAGAATTCCCAAAGAGAGTTCCAGCAAAACTGGTGAAAGTGTGGGGCAGGGCAGAGGCCAGGGCAGTCTGGAGACCAGAGCTGGGCGGAGTGGGTGAGGTGGGGCAGCCAGGAGAGAAAAGGCCCTTTGAATCCAGGAGTACTGGAAACCACAGCCTTCCCCACCCCCGCCGAGCCTGGCCCCCCAGTGCCGCAGCTTGGCAAACACCCGCACACAAGGGCGGCTTTGAGAGACCAAGGTGAGTGAGACAGAGACACAGAGACTCACAGAGACCCCAAGCCAAGGAGACCTCGGAGGCCCCCACCCTCCACCAAAACCCAAGGGAAGATCTTTCCAGCCTGTGCTCACTGCCCACAGGCCCTCCCACCTGGAACCACATACTCACCCCACTGTCTCAGACCCACGGGCACCCCATCACTCAGCCTCCCAGCCTCCAAAGTCCTGTCCTGAGCTCTCAGGAGTTCCACGGTAACCAATCTCCTCCTCCACCACTCAGCCTCCAAATAAGATAGTCACTGTGGTCATCCCCCGCCTCCATGCAGAACATTCCTTCCCCCAACAGAAGACCCCCCCCAGACTCTGTAAACAGCCTGTACTTCATTTTCCTGTCAATTTTCAGCGCTTTCTGTGATCTAATCTGTATCTTTTATGTTGCTGTTCTGCCCGTTTTCTCTCCAGAGCAGAGAAGAAATGAATAGTTCAGTTATATACAAATCAGTCCCAAGTGTTTCCAGGAGTGAGGAGCTGGCTCCAGGCTACCTAAACCCAGTCCTCCCAGGCCCTTATTCTGACATCAAATCCCCTTTCCTAGGATCCTTTCCCCTCTTGGGGGTTGGAGGGGATCCGGTCTGTGGACACCAGGGTCCCAGGGGAGTCCGGCTGGCCAGAGGGGGAGGGGCGGGGCAGGAATGCAAAGAGTTGGCTCTGGCCTCAGACACCTGATCCTGGCCTGTCCGGCGGCGGTCCTGTTGGCAGCCAGCCCTGGTGCTCCCTAGAGCCAGCTGCGTGGCAGCATCCAGGGCACAGGGAGGGGGTGGGGGACCTGAACAAGATGGACAGCAGAGGCATCCCTTCTTCCCCCAGCTTTCTAGGCTCTGCTTTGATCCACAGATGTTCACCCCTCATCCTTTTCCGGTCAACCCTGGTATCCACTGCCTTCAAGTCAAAAGCCTGGACTTGGCCATCCTCAGGTCTTTCTAAGGCCAAGCCTTCAGTCTACTCAGAGATCTCCACTGTGGTCCCCACCCTGCTGGCATTACCTGCCCTCCGCCAGTCATTTCAAGGGAGAGGTTCCTCTACTGGCTCCAAAGGCACCCAGGTGTCTTGCCCTCCAACACCCTGGATCCCCAAATCCCCTTAGACTCCGAAGTTCCTGCTCAGGGCATCAATCTCTTCCCAGCAGATGCTCTGCTCTCCCGCTCCAGACCGGACTCCTCCTCTTACCTGTCCAGCCCGGGACAGCGCTCAGCCCCAGCACCAGAGGCAGGAGAAGGAGGAGGCGGTGGCAGCGGCTGCACCGCTCCATGGCTGGGCGATCGGAACGCCCGGTCCCTAGGACCCCGGCGGGTCCTGGGGCTGACAGGAGACAGCAAGCCGGCTGGGAGCCTCGGAGCCAGGACTTGGCGGGTGGTCAGAGGCCCTCCAGCGCTGGCGGCTTTCAGCAGCCCAGCTCCATGCACCGTGCCGTCGGGGCTCGGCCGCTGCTCACTCCTCGGTGGCCGCCGCTCCTGTGCGTCCCCGGCCACCCCGGCAGCTCAGAGCCCCCACCTCGCCCCCGCCCCCCGGTCCGGCCCCCGTCTCCAGCCGCCCGCCCACAGCCACCGAGGGGAAACCCCACCCCCAGACCTCCACCTGGACAGAGGGGCATGGGGGTGAAAGCCCTCCCTCCTGACCCTAGACCAGGGGTACCCTGCTCCTGGAGGGATAGGGGGCTGTATGCACCCGCGGGCTCTCAGGGCGAGGACAACGGATCTTTTCTAGCCCCTCCCTTTTCTAGGACCCAAGGTCTGGTCACTTGTCCAGGTCCCGCCCTTGGGGGCCCAGAGCCCCTCTGCAGAGTCCTGGGCGGGACTCGGGGAGGGCTCCCCACGCCCACTCGCAGTCAGGTCTCCATAATTACCTCCCTCGCTCCGCCCCGTGTAATTACAGAGCGGTCCAGGGCCGGGTATTTATAGACCAAGCTATAGATAGTGACCGATAGGGGGGGAACGGGGGGGGTCGCCAAGCGGACTGGAGGGAGGCCCGAGATGACCAAGGGGGGACTAGGTAAGGCAGCCCAGGTGGAGCAGGACACCGACGTGACCGCAGGCCCCTGTCGGAAGGGTCTGGAAAGGGGTCACTCGGGGACGTGGCCGCTCCAGGAGCGCCCCTCGGGGAGGCCACACCTGCCCCCAGGGCACGGCGCCGGGTCTGCCCGGACCCCGCGGCTCGGCCCGGAGAAAGACGGAGCACGGCGCCGCCGCCCGCTGGCGCGGAGGGCACCCACAAACAAGGCGCCTTTGAGCGCGCTGCCTCCTCTGCCTTCTGCGCGCCCCGCCCCAGCCTGGCACACCTCTCCACCCCCTCCCGACAAAGCGCGCCTTGTCCCCCGCCCTGCGCCTCTGGGGCCCCGCTGAACCTCGGGCCACGTCCAGGGAGCGTCCTCCGGAATCCCCCACACCCAGTGTGCCACGGTGCCCACCCCCAGGCAGTCACATCAATCCAGAAAATAGTGATTTTAACTGGAAAGCGATTTTATGTGCGCGTGAAAGAGGAAAGGACCCCGAAGAGGAGGTCCAGGGCAAACACCATGCAGCCCCGCACCCACCTCTGCAGGCTGGCCATCCCCTTCAGTTCTCAGTGAGGGTCCCTGTTCCCTAGCGGTGTGCCTGGAGCCAAGGAGAGCTGTGAAGGGGAGGCCCACACAGACCAGCCCTTCCCCAGGGTGGGTGAGGAAAGGGGAAGACAGCCCTGGAGAGCCCCAAAGACAAACCTCCTGAGGGCCCTGCTTGCCACACACCACACCACCACTGGCATTTCTTAAGTCAACTTGGGGATGTACAGTACTTCTTTGAGTCTAACTGTAAGTCTCTATCCTCACAGGAAATTAAAAATAGCAGTTTGTTCCTCCATTCCATCAGCCCCTTCACCACTACCTTTTATTCTTCAGTCTGACTGCAGGTGATATGTGAAAGAGGACTCTGGGCAGGAGACAGTGGCAGGGCCCCTCCCTCTCCCCCCAACTGCCAGGTATGGGAGGACAGAGGGCTATCAGAGCCCTCTCCCATGTCCATCAGTTTGGGGGGCCTGCCCCCCAACACCCCTCTCTAGGAGAGCTCCATTTCCACTCTTCGGATAATGAAGCCAGGTTCCGGGAGCAGGGCCAGTGCTTTGTGCTGGGAGAGAGCTGGGGGATGAGAAATCACTCCAAATCATGGAAGACCCCAACAAATTCAGAGACTCAAGGCCACTGAAGGTAGATGTCTAGTTGTCACAGGGATCTGGGGTCCCCTCTGACTCAGAGATCAAGCAAACCCTGCAAAGGGTTGACGGAACCCCTTGGAAGTCAGGGAAGCCCCTTCTGTTCCGTGCTCCTTGTCCACAGCTCTGGGTGGGCCCTGGGCCCTCCCACCCTGCCCAGACTCATGTCCTCTTCCACTGCACTCCCCACTCAGGAGGAGCACACATGTGCATCTGGGTTCAGGCCAGCTGGTGGGGAGCCTCGAGCATCTCCATGAGGAAGGTGTCAATGGGGGTGTCGCCAATGAGCTTGAAGAAAAACAGATGCTCTAGACACTTAAGGCCAATGGACCGGAGGGCAGGAAGACGTAGCAGCAGCTTGGCAAACCTGAGGTGGGAGCAAAAGAGGAATGAGAGCCAGCATCACTGGGGCCCCAGACACATCGCAGTCTCTCATACCCCAGGGGCCACAGCCCCAAAGCCCCTCTCACCGGCCCTGCTGCTCAGGGTACTTCTGCTTGCAGTAAGTCTCCAGTGATGCGTACACCTTCTCCCGCAGGACCTCCACCTCCCCAGGGTTGGAGAGGCCCTTGGCATCTGGGAAGTTGGGGAAGAAGGCAGGCAATCAAATTAGGCCATGCAGATGGGCCCTCAAGATGCCCATGGGAAACGAGGCTCATTGGGGGTGTGGGATGGGGTCAGAAGGGGAATGCACCAGTGAGGTGGCTTTATCCTGGGTCCGCTAAGAGATTTCTAGGTTGAGGGTCTTACTGAGGGGGACCACTGGAGAAGAAGAGGCTCCAGGGCTGCCTTGGACTGAGAGGCAGTGGCCCCTTACCTGGATTGAACAGAATGATTGCCTGCAGGTGGTGCCCCCCCCTTACCTGGATTAAACAGAATGATTGCCCGCAGGCAGCCAAGCTCTGTCTTGTCCATCCTCATGTCTCGCATTTTGGACACTAGCTCTGTCAGCACCCTGGAGAGGGACCTGCAGGTCACTCAAAGGTCACAGCTCAGCCAGCCTTGGACACGGACCAGCCTACAGCCCCACCCCTTCTACCTACAGGCCAGCCCTGATAAGGGCCACTGACCGATCAAAGATGGCTCCCACGCCTGCGGAATGGGCTGAGTTTCTGTGCACGTGAAGACCTGTGGCCAGGAGGATGCCATCTCGGACATCAATGGACCGATGGGAGAAGGAGGCAATGAGGAGCTCATTCCAGCCTGGGGGCCAGAGGGCACCAAGGGTCAGCAGCCAGACACCAGGCCATGGGATTCAAAGCACAAAGAACAGAGGGGTGAGGTCAGCAGGCGTGGCTCCCTGAGTATGCCAGGGAAGACCACTGGGGTCACGGAAGGTCGAGGAGGCCAAAGAGGAGTCAAATGTCAACAGGTCAAAGGGATTCAAGGTCACTGACCTGCCCGTAGCAGTATGACCTGGTCATCCAGAGGTAAGGAAGAAAAATGGGGGATCCTCTTCGCCCACTCAACAAGCGTGAATAGCTGTTTGTCAGCTGCCTGGCAGATGTTAGTCACGGGGTCATTTGGCTGCAGGGACGGGGTGTAAGATTTAAGGAAAGTGTGGAGATACACTAGGAGACACCTTATAGGAGGCTCATGATTCTCCGTCCTTACACATCATCTGCCCTTGAGCCCCCTCTAAGCCCATCCCTGTCGTTCATGGAAACCAAGACTGATCCTGGCTTGCCAATAGGAGCAGAGACACAGGAGCTCTGACATCCACAGATACTGATTTTTTGAGAGAGTCTCACCACAGAGTTCTGACTGACCTGGAACACGCTATGTAGACCAGGCTGGTCTTGAACCCACCGAGATCCACTTGTCTCTGTCTGCCAAGAGCAGAGATTACAGGCATGTGCCACTATTCCTGGCTCACCTCAGATAATGAGATGCCCTTGTTTGTTGGCACTTCCAAACCAGGACAAGGCGAGGAGAGTTGGAAGGGGGAGACAGAGCACACCTAGCACCCTCCCCAAGCCCCCATCATGAAAGAGAAGGGATCAACCCCATCACTCACGCTGCTGCCGCTACCCCCGGTTCCCCCAGGACCCTCAACGCCTTGGTCACTCTTCTGCTCCACAGCAAGCTCTGCCTCCAGGATCCTGTCCACAGGCATCTCCTCGGGGGCTCCCCCAGCCCCCTCCCCATCCCCGTCCTTGTCCTTCCCCCGCTGACGCTCCTCCTGTACCGCTGCAGGGCGGGGAGAAAAAATGGAAAATCAGAAGCCAGCCATGTGGGGTTCTGAAGTATCCTGGGGCCCTTCTCAGGGCTAATGTCCCCTGGGAGACAGAGTAACTACAGAAACCCTTAGAAATGGTGGGCTAGGGCAGTCTGGAACAGTCTGGGAGCCACAGAGCAGCAAGGTGAGGCTCAGTGATTTTTACTTTTTGTCTTTTTTTGAGACAGGGTCTCCCTGTAGCCCCAGCTGTCCTGGAACTCACTATGTAGACCAGGCCGGCCTTGAACTCACAGAGAACCACCTGCCTCTGCCTCCTGAGTGCTGGGATTAAAGGCCTGCACCACCACACCCAGCAAGGAATCTAAATTTAAACAGGGTCTACTATGTGCTAAAAAAAAAAAAAATGCCAAAGTTTTTTTTGGGTTCTTTTTTTTTTTTTGAGATGGTCTCATTATGTTACCCTGGCTGGCCTTAAACTCCCGATATAGACCAGGCAGATTTTAAACTCAGAGATATACCTGCCTCTGCTTCCTGAGCACTGGGATCAAAGGCGTGCATCACCACACCTGGCTTCCAAACACGTTTTAACATGTACTTGAGTATGTTAAACAGACAGCAGTAGAATGAGCCCTGGCCTGGGTCCTAGAAGTGTGTGTTCTGATCCTGGCACTGTGGGGTTCATCTTCTCTAAGGCAGGAATCTGACAAGATATTCCAAAGTGTCTCTTAGCATTCCAGGAACCAGACTTAAGATGGACAGAGAATCTCTTCAGAGAGATTTGCTGCCTAACAGGGTAGGGTCACAGAGAACAGAGAGATGGAAACCAGAGGAACAAGGGATCAAAGGGAGGAAGGCAGTGCTCAGGCCAGAGAGGACACAGAAGTCCATCGTGAGTAGGAAACGGTTATCCTACCCAAAGACCAGACCGTGCTCAGGAAGGAATATGGCACCACACAGATCCACCCGAGGCAGAACTGTTAAGTTAGAAACTCAGGGCCAGAGCACCAGGCTGAGGAGGAAGGGGAAAGAGCAGTCAAGCACCACTCCCTGGAGGGGAGAGAGAGAGGAGAGAGAGAGAGAGAGAGAGAGAGAGAGAGAGAGAGAGAGAAGGAGAGGAGAGGAGAGAAGAGAAGAGAGAGAGAGAGAGAGAGAGAGAGAGAGAGAGAGAGAGGCGCCATAGGTTCCCCGGGTCTTCCCTGCGCCTCCTCCCAGCTCTCCCACAGGGGTGGGAGGACAGGACTACAGCCTGGCTGGGGCAGGTCCTTACCCTCCCTCTTCATGCCGGTGGCCAGGCACTTTTGATAGCGACAGTACTGACAGCGGTTCCGCTGACGCTTGTCCACCGTACAATCTTTATTGTCCCGACAAGAGTAGGTCAGGTCCTTCCGAATGGTGCGCTTGAAGAAGCCCTTGCAGCCCTCACAGCTGTAAACCCCATAGTGCTTGCCTACACGGAGAAAAAGATGGCGGTAAGAAAACTGCAGGAGACCTCCCCACTGTTGAGTCTCTCTACAATCTGCTCCCAGCAAAACAAGTCTAAATCCTTCCTGTTTCCCAAATACAGAGATGAGAAGGTAAGAGACAACCCAGTCCACTCTCCTCGGTGACCAGAATCCCTGCACTATCCCCCTTTCCCTCTGACTGCCCCCTACTGCATTTAACATGGATCTGAAGGTCTATTAGCTCCCATTTCTCCCTAGCTCTGCCCAACCCTAGGAGCCCCTGAGAACCCCACAGGCAGAGATTAACAGCCCATACGCTCCTTCTTTCTCCAGCCTGTGCAGAGCCCCATACCTGAGCTTCGGTCCCCGCAGATTGCACATAGCCGTTTGCCGGCCCCTGGGCCACCTGGAGGGGGTGGACAGTGCAGGCCCCGGGCCCCTAAGACCGGTGGCTTCACATCTTCAGGGGGGCCAGACCCACCCCCAGGGAGAGACACTGTTGAGTTAATCTGGGATGGGGGAAATAAAGAAGTCAAGGAGACTCATTTGAAGGGAGAAACCATTCCCTACCACTAGGTAGGCTCTGCACGACCCATTCCAGAGGGCACTGGAAACTCCATGGTCTGTGTAAAGGACCTTCCCTGGAGCGCTGCCTCCAGAATGGATATCCACCATTCTGTAATTGTGCAGTACAACGACCCCGAAGATCATGCATCTTGAAAGGGCGCATAGGACCAAAAGGGCAGCAAGGCCCTGTGAGATAGAAAAGGACATCAGGAATACTGAGTTTTGGTGGACAGACATGGTGGCTCACGCTTTTAGTCCCAGCACTCGGGAGACAGAGGCAGGCGGATCTCTTTGAGTTCAAGGCCAGCCTGGTCTACATAGTGAGTTCCAGGACAGCTGGGGCTACAGGGAAACCCTATCTCAAAAAGACCAAAGAAAAAAAAAAGAACACTGAGTTTTGGTTTGTTTGTTAAAGGAGTTAGGGAAGAAGCACCAAAAAAACCATTCACCTCCGGAAGGGCAAGGGGTGTCACAGAGACCCCAGACTGGCTAGGATCGGAGGACAGGAAATGTCTGTGGGCCTTAGGGAAGTTTACCCAAAGGTGGAAAGGGGGATGGGGGGTTAAAAGGTGAAAACAGGAAATGAAAGGAGAGAGGCAGTAATGGGTCACAACCTCTCACCTGAGGACTGCTGACAGGCCCGGAGAATCCTGGGGGAGCCGGAGGGGGTAGACCAGGAGACCCCATGGAAGAACTGATAACTGGGAAGGGGGAGCCCAGTGGAGGGGGTGGCATTGGAGGTGGAGGTGCTGAAGGGAGAAGAGGTGGGCCAGGAGGAGAAGGGGGAGGGATCCCCTGGGAAAGAGGATTTGGGGAGGAGCTGTCTGGGCTTCTGGAGTCTGAGAGAGAGGCACACACAGACAGGCACACATAGACAGGAGAGACAAAAAAAAAAAGAGAAAGTGAGCCTTTGATCATCCAAACGGATACTTTAATTTCCTAATCCCCCACCTCGCCCTGCCCCACCAACACCCCACAGCCCCCGCCCCCCAGGTCAGAAATCCCAAGTTGTCAAACAACCATTTTAAGGGAGGGGTGAAGAGTTTCCAAGCTCAGCATTTGAATGACTACTGGGTCATCGCAAGCACGTGGGGTGGACACGTCCACGCCTGGGTTCCTAGCTCCGGTCCAAGGAGCCAGAATGTGCAAGATGACAGGAGAAATGGAGAGACCCCCCCCCCTCAGGGTGCAAGGTCGGCCTGCAGACATCCAGTGCCCCCAGCCCCCCGGGTAGGAGGGGACCGGGTGTCCCTCCCACGCCCGGCACCTGCAGTGCAGGCCCCGAGCCTCCGGCACCTGCAGGGCGGAAGCTCCCCCTGCCCGCCCCGCCCCGGGGGAGGGCGCAGGGCCCCGGGACGCGTGTTTACAAACAAGGGGGCGGGAGCGCGGGGAGGGGGCGCTGGGCCGCCGGGACCCGGCCGGACACTCACCCCGCCCGCTGTCGCCCATCCCGTCCCGGCCAGCCTCCCCCGGCTCCGGCTCGGGCTCCGGGCTCGGCTGCTCTCCGGCCGCTACCGCCGCCGCCGCCGCCGCCGCCGCGGGATCCAGCCAGGGCCGCCGCCGCCTCCACCGGGACGCGACCCCACAATGCATCTCTCTCCTCACCCCCACCGGCCCACACTGCCCCGCGGCATGCGGCGGCGGGAGGAAGGGCGGGCGGGCGGCCCAGGACATGCTGACTGGGCGGGGCGCGGGGCAGCCGGACAGCCGCCGGGGAGCTAACCGGGGGGCTCGGGCCGCGCGGCCAAGCGCCGGAGGAAACAGGCTCCGGCCTGGCTCGGCTCGAATCAGGCACCGCGTTCGGCCCGGGATGCCAGTGACAGCGCCGATGCGGGCGCCATCTTGGTATAGACGGGAAGTCTCGTCGCCAGCTCCCGCCCCCTCGCCGAGGTGGGAACCGAGGAGGCGGTCTCCGCCAGCCCGGCGGCCCGCCAGGCCCTCCGTGCCCTCAGCTCACCCCCGCCACTGCGCATGCACGCCGCCGCTAGGGCCTCGCCGTCCGGGGAGCGCCGCCATGTTGATAAAGGGAGCGGGGCGGAGGCAGAACTTGCTGATCTCGCGCGAGTTTGTAGCGTGACTGCCACGTCCGAGCAAACCGGGAACCGGTGAGAATTCTCTGCTTTTTAGGCCTTTTCCCCCAGCTAGTGGGTCATAGAGACGAGGGCCCAGAGTGCACGTAACGTGGAGGGTCGGAGGGTAGAGCTGTCGGAGAGGAAGGGTGCTGTAGAGCTGTCGGAGAGGAGGGGGCGCTGCATCCGGGAAGAGGGTTCGAGATCGAGAGAAGGCGTCTCAGGAACAATGTAAGGGGGGTACAGACTGCAAGTGGGAGCAGCCCATAGACGTGGACTGAGGACACGAGAGAAGGAAAGCAGACCCCCACGTAGATAGGGTTGGACATCAAGTGGAATCGTTGTCTCTGTCCCTCTGGTCAGCGTGATGGCCGGGGGCCTGCGGGTGCCCCACTGGGTGGCTATGGGACTGCTGACCTGGGCGGCTTTGGGGCTACTTGTGGCCGGACACGGGGGTCATGGTGACCCGCACAAGGACGTGGAAGAGGACTTCCATGGCCACAGCCACGGGCACTCACATGAGGATTTCCACCATGGCCACAGCCATGCCCATGGCCATGGACACACTCACGAGAGCATCTGGCATGGGCATGCCCACAGCCACGACCATGGACATTCACATGAGGATCTGCACCACGACCATGCCCATGGCCACTCCCATGAGAGCCTGCAGCTCGGAGGACATGGACATGGACATGACAGGGAACATAGCTATGGAGCCTCTAGGGGGACTGGGACTCCAGGCATCAAGCAGCCCCTGGACACTGTAACCCTCTGGGCCTATGTGAGTCCCCAGGGGCTGTGGGGGGAAGGAACTGGTTCCTGGTTATTGGAACATTCCATGAACTTTGGCCCCCGACTCTCCTTCACCAGGCACTGGGGGCCACAGTACTGATCTCGGTAGCTCCATTTTTCGTCCTCTTCCTCATCCCTGTGGAGTCAAACTCTCCCAGACATCGATCTCTGCTCCAGATCTTGCTCAGTTTTGCTTCTGGGGGGCTTCTGGGTGATGCTTTTCTGCACCTCATCCCTCATGCTCTGGGTAAGTAACTTCTGGACTCTACCTCAAAGCTTATCCTAGGGCTGAAGAGGTGGCTCAGCAGTAAAAGCACAGGCTGTTCTTCCAGACCTTAGTTCAATTCCTAGCACCCACCTGGCAGCAAACAACTGTCTGTAACTCCAGTTCCAGGGGATCAGATGCCCTCTTCTGGCCTCTGCAGGCTTTGCATGACATGGTTGCACTTACACTCATGCAAGCAAAATACACAAAATCAGAATAAATTGAAAAAAATCCAAGTTTAGCGTATTTTATTCTTTGGGGGAGAAAAGAGTTCTTTCTCCTTTATGACCCCTGCTTTTCCAGTTCCCCAGATACACATCCCTTGAGTCAGGTAGTCTCACCCAGCCTTTTTTCCTACTTCCTACAGAGCCTCATTCTCACCACACTCTGGAGCATCCAGGACACGGACACTCCCACAGTGGTGAGGAAGAGATGGGTATAGGGATTGGGGTGCCTGGAAGTCTGCTCTTGTAACTCCTCACCTCCTGTGAGGAGGAATCTGGATGCAGCCCTCCCTTCACGCCTCGGTGCTTCCTCCCCAGGTCAGGGACCCATTCTTTCCGTGGGGCTGTGGGTTCTCAGTGGAATTATTGCCTTCCTTGTGGTGGAGAAATTTGTGAGGCACGTGAAAGGAGGACACGGGCATAGTCATGGACATGGAGATGGTCACACACATGGAAGTCATGGACATGGAAGACAGGGTGAGCCAACATTGCTGGTAAAGTCACATTGCCTGCCTCAGAATACACTGAAGGTCTGATGGAGAGAGCTTCCCATGGAGGACGTGTCAAAAGAGTCGATCCCCACTCTGACCAACTCCTGTCTTCCCTCAGAGCGCCCTTCAAGAGAAAAGCCCAGCTCAGAGGAGGAAGAAAAGGAAGCAGGGGGATTGCGGAAGAGGAGAGGAGGGAACCTGGGGCCCAAAGATGTGCCAGTGAGACCTCAGAACCCTAGAGAAGAAAAGCCAGGTTCAGGTAAGGGATGGGGTTGCAAGCCCTGTGAGGGCTGTCTGAATCTCACAGGATGCCATGGCAATGGCAGGTGTCTGGGAAACCCTGAGGGGCTGCATGTCAAGTGGCCTCTGAGGAGACAGGAGGGAGGCTGAGGAAGACTAGGACTGGTGGTGACAATGCCTCTGATTATTTTATTGTCCTCTCTGCAAAAGACCTGCGCGTGTCTGGGTACCTGAACCTGGCTGCTGACTTGGCACACAACTTCACAGATGGTCTGGCCATTGGTGCCTCCTTTCGAGGGGGCCGAGGGCTAGGAATCCTGACCACCGTGACTGTCCTGCTACATGAAGTGCCTCATGAGGTTGGAGACTTTGCCATCTTGGTCCAGTCTGGCTGCAGCAAAAAGCAGGTTGGTGTTGGCTGTCATTAGTTCCAAACAATTTATACCGTCTGTTAAGCATGAGGGAAAGAAGGTGCTTCCTTCGCCCAGAGCTCAGTGCTGCTTCCTCACTGTGGTCTGCACACGTGCACAGCCTAACAAACCAGGCCTGTTGGAAAGACCTCTTTGATGGCGTTAAGATTTTTCAGAAAGTGTCTGTTTTAGAACTACACCTCCTCACCCTTTTTACCTAGCTGGAGGTGGGAGGTGGGGGTCATCCTTTGGTGTGGTTCCTCAGGAGCCCTCTACTGGTTTTCTGAGAATCATTCACTGGGATCTGAGGCTCTCTGATTAGGCTCTGAGCTCCAGGTCTGCCTGTCTCCGCTTCCCAGTGCTAGGAGTACAAGCTGCACCACCACACTTGGCTTTTTATGGGGTGCTTGGGATCCAGAGGCAAGTCCTCATGCTTGTTTGGAAGCACTTTATCAACTGATCACCTCTCCAGCCCCTTACCTAGCTTTCTGCTCCCCAAAACTATGGGCTCCCACACAGCTATACCCCGCCAGCCACAACTAAACTACTGATAATCTTTAGCTGTTAATGAGTCACACTCTCTTTTCTGCCCACCAGGCGATGCGTCTTCAGCTACTGACCGCCGTAGGAGCCCTGGCAGGCACAGCCTGTGCCCTCCTCACCGAAGGAGGGGCAGTGGGCAGTGAAGTAGCAGGAGGTGCAGGCCCTGGCTGGGTTCTGCCCTTCACAGCAGGTGGTTTCATCTATGTAGCAACAGTGTCCGTGTTGCCCGAGCTCTTGAGGGAGGCATCCCCATTACAGTCGCTTTTGGAGGTGCTGGGGCTGCTGGGGGGAGTTGTCATGATGGTACTGATTGCCCACCTTGAGTGAGGGGTGGGATAATCTGCCCTACCCCTGCCCCAAACCTCTACCTGTAACTCCAGGGAAGGGTAGTTGGGGGCCCTGGCCAAGGATACTTGCAGAGGAAGGAGCTTTAGCCTAGAATGACAACTTTGGCATTGGGGCCTTCAGGGCTTGGCAGTCATAAGAGAGAAGGGGAGGCCAGAGGGACCAACGCATTGGACACTGCCCAGCAGAACTGTTGGTTTTGGAAGGATAAATGGGACCCTGAGGAAGGCCTGGCTGATGGCTGCCTACCTGGTGGTCCTGGTCCCTCTTGTTCTCAGAGGACCAAGGTGCTGTACAGGGTTCCCCAAGGGCCACCACTCTCTCTTGCACCGGTTAGTGGAGGAAAACCACCAGGGAAAACCTGGCAGAGGAAGCACCAGGAGGCATTGGGGAACCATCAATCGTGTGTCCTGATTTGGGGTGGGAGAGGGTTAGTTGTTAAAATCTCATGGCCTAATTTTTGTTGTTTCTAATTCATTTTATATCATTGAGTCGGGGAAGTGGCGACCGGAAATAAAATACTTGGATCTTCTACCCCACGCGCAGTCTTTGTCTTTTGGGGGGTTGTGGGGCCCCTTGTCCCCAACTCCCTAGGCCCCCCCGAGGGGTGCTGGGAGGCAACGCCCCCACGGTGGGAGGTCTGCCCGCTTGATGGCCGCAGCTCGCCGGGGCCGGTGGGATGCCATTGGGCCTGACTTGGCCCTCGCCACGCCCCCCGTGCACTCGGATTGGCTCCGGGACCGGGCCGCCCGCCCGCCCGCCACCGCCATGGCTGCTCAGCTCCGGCTCCGCTCCGCGCTTGCCCTGGTCACAGGTTGAGGGTCCTCCCAGAGTGGGTTGGGGTCTGGGGCGATGTCAGCGCGCGCGCGCCCCCTGGGGGCTCTGGCCCTTTTGCCGAGTTTCGCCAACTTTGTGATCCCTGACCCGGTCCCATCCTCTCCCGCCCTGGCGGGCTCCCCCCCCCCCACCAGGTGCGGGCAGAGGCATCGGCCGCGCGGTCAGTGTGCGCCTGGCTCAAGAGGGCGCTGCCGTGGCCGCCTGCGACCTGGACGGGGCCGCGGCACTCGAGACCGTGCGGCTGCTGGGCGAGCACCGGGCGCCCGGCGGGAAGCACGCCGCCTTCCAGGCCGACGTGTCGCAGGCCCCCGCGGCCCGGCGCCTGCTGGAGCAAGTGCAGGTGAACCGCGGGTGGCCGCCGCACCGCCCCTCGCCGGCCCTTTGTGCCGCTCGTGTTAGCCTCCTCCTCCCTCCATAGGCCTGCTTTTCTCGCCCGCCATCTGTCGTTGTGTCCTGTGCTGGCATCACGCGGGATGAGTTTCTGCTCCACATGTCCGAGAAAGACTGGGACAAAGTCGTAGCTGTCAACCTCAAGGTGGTGACCTCTGAACTTGTGACCGCTGCCCATCCCCGGCCTAGGGAAGGACTTGGAGGAGGGCAGCCACCCCCGCTGACCTTGCCAGCCTTGTTACCCTCTCGTGCCAGGGCATCTACCTAGTCACTCAGGCTGCAGCCCAGGCATTGGTGTCCAGTGGTTGTCCTGGCTCCATCATCAACATCAGTAGCATCGTTGGAAAGGTCAGGTTGAGTTGGGGCAGGCCAGCTAGCCACGTGGGCCCCGGGAAGAGGCTCCCCTTGGAGACTCCTGACTCACCCTGGGTCTCTGACTCACCATAGGTGGGGAACATTGGGCAGACAAACTATGCTGCCTCGAAGGCAGGAGTGATCGGGCTCACCCAGACCGCAGCCCGCGAGCTTGGACGGTGGGTCAGACACGTTGGGGTGGGGGATACTAGGGAGACTTGCAGCTGGCATGCAAGGGTCTGAAGGGAGGGGTCGTGTCCTTTCTAGGGTCAGCATCTGAGGTCTCCCCTCCCACAGACACGGGATCCGCTGTAACTCAGTCCTCCCAGGATTCATTACAACATCCATGACCCAGAAAATCCCACAGAAAGTGAAGGACAAGGTAGGCTGTGGGTGGAGGGCAGAGCCTGTCAGAGAGGAGGCCTCTGGGTAAAACTGCCTGGCATAGTGCAAATAGTAAGTATTCAAGTATGAGGGACCAAGACGGAGGAATAAAAAGTCATAGACTACCTAGAAAAAAAAGCTCGTAAAAGAAACTTTCACCCACAAGTGTTCTCTTACAGGTGACTGGAATGATCCCGTTGGGACACATGGGGGACCCTGAGGGTGAGCATGAGTGGGGAGAAGGCTCTGAGGAGGGGACCAGTCTTAAGAGAGCCTAAAGATCAGTAGTCCTGTTGAGGTCTCACAGGGGTTAGTGGATGGTGTGAGTTTAGGGCTTTGGGGGGCCTGGAGGGAGCAAAGCTCCTTTGGGTCTGTGGGACTGAGTGGTGCTCCGCCCTTCCCCACCATCCCCCTAGATGTGGCAGATGTGGTTGCGTTCTTGGCATCTGAAGACAGTGGATACATCACAGGGGCCTCAGTGGAAGTCACTGGTATGAGGCCTGCATGTGAAAGGGTGGAGAAGTGGAACCCCAACTATGAGAAAGTGAGGGGGGGCCTGCAGTCTGGAAGGGCAGAGGCAGCCTAGGCCTGGGACAGAAGTGGGTGCCCCCCAGCCATCTACCTCTTCACCCAAGCACCTGTCCCAATGTTTCTGCCCCTCCCAGGAGGTCTTTTCATGTAACTGCCTCAAGAACCCTGGACTCTGCTCACCCCCCACTACCACTCTGCCTGGCCTCCCGCTGATGAGGACTCTAAGTTCCCAGGCTACACAAGGGGGTGGCAGTGTGTGGCTCAGGAATGCTGAACATGGAAGGCAGGGGTGCTTGTGACCCTAATAAATTCCAAATCCTCTTCCCTGCCACCTCCGGTTCTTGTGTCCAAGCCCTCAGACCCTTCCCCACCTCCCCCTCTCTCCCTTTCCCGAAGGATTGTTCCCTTTCACTGCCTGGTCTCCCAGGGCAACCCCCGCCGCCGGGTGTGAGAGGAGAGTGTATGTCACTGTGTATGTGTGACACTCTGGGTCTTTTCAGAGGGAGGGGGCTCTGCCGCACCCCCTTTCACTGGTCCTGCAACGCCAGTACCCTCCCCCCCAACTCCCCGGGTCCTTATGGCCCCCAAGGGTGATTTGTTCTCGGACCCATCCTGGTGTCCAGTCTGGCCCTGGAAGGGGGTCTTGGAACAGGTGGCCCTCCCCTATACCCCTCCTTTCTCTCAATTTCCCCCCTCCCCCTTTCTCTCCACCTTACAATAGCTGCAGCCGGCCTGGGGTCGGATGGGGGGGATTAGGGGAGGGGGCCAGGATTAGGGGAATGGACCAGCCGATGAAAGGGGCTGGAGGAGAGCAGAAGGGAGGGGGCTGGAGAAGGAGGAGGAGGAAGGGGAGGGGGTCCGTGCTAATCGACTCTGGCGCCCACATAAGGACTGGCCACGGACTGAAGGAGAGGACAGGGAAGTAGGGGGGAACTGGATGGAGGGGGGAACCCACGGCTGACTTGTCCCAGAGACAGGCCACCTCCTGGCAGGCGCAGCCCAAAATCCCGGAGCCCCAGCTCAGGCTGGCGGGGGACCGAGCGCCCACGACGGCTCTTTTCCCGGTGCGCCCTTCGCATTCCCTGCCCTCGATGGAGATGGCCCTGCTCCTTCCTCTCCTCTCTCCTCCTCCCCGTCCACTTCCTGGACTCCAGAGTCCCGGAGAGGCTCTGCCCACTTCCCCACGCCAGACACTCCGCCCGTGTCCCCCCAACTCCCCCATGGGGGCCCCATCTTGTGTGTCCCTGCTTCCTCGTGGCGCCTCCCTCCCCGCTCCGGGCCGCGGCTCCTGATTGTCCAAACGCAATTCTCGAGTCTCTGGCTCCGGCCGAGAGTTGGGTCTGGACGTCCCGAGCCGCCGCCCCCAAACCTCGAGGGGGAGAGGGGGTCGGAGGGGCTGGGGATAGGTTTGGCGGAGGGCGGGCCGGTCCCCGGGGTGGCGTGGTGGTAGGGGGATCCCGGGCACTTGGGGGACCCCACTCCCCACCCCCCCGGTGCAGCGCCGGGACCTCCGGGCTGGTGCCGAGCGGCTGAGGCGCTTCCGCGGCGTGCGTCCCCTGGGATCCCAGACCCCAGCTGCGGAGAAGTTGGGGAGGTGGGTCACCCCGACCGCGGAGAGAGAGGCGGCCCGGCCCGGGTCCCGCGCGCTCCAGGCTCACGGCGCGCGCAGGTGGCGGGGACCGCGGTGCCCAAGTACGTGCGCCTGCCCAGGGCTGCACGACCCCGAGCGAGCCCCACGGGGGAGGGGGCAAGCCCGGGTCCACGTCGCGCTCCACGCGCGCCGCGAGGGGTGGTGACGTCTCCGCCGGGGGGGTGGGGTGCGAGGCGGGCGGAAGTGACGTTGGGTCCGAGCGCCCGGGCGGGCCATGGCGGCGGCGGCGGGAGCGGTGGTGTGAGCGGCGGCGGCGGCGGCGGAGGACCGAACGGACTCGGCCGCACAGCCTGGGCCGGCCCCGGGGACCTAGGCCCGCGGCGGGGGAGCGCGACGGACCGCGGTGCGGGGTGAGGGGCCCGGCGGCGCGCGCGGGGCCCGGAGGCGGGGTCTGCGGAGGGGCGGCCCCGGCAGGGTCCCCTCTCCCCCCCCGCCCCCGCAGACTCCTCTCGGCGGAACCCTGCTGGGGGGTCTGCTCCCGGTCACCATGACGACGCCGGCGAATGCCCAGAATGCCAGCAAAACGTGGGAACTGAGTCTCTATGAGCTGCACCGGACCCCGCAGGTGACAGGAATTCTTCAGTTCCCGGCTTGCCCCCTCCCTCCAGCCAGCCCCCATCACACTCACTATTCTCTGCCCCCCCCCCGTTCTGCCTTGGAAATCACTTTCATCTCTTTTAAAGCACTTTTACATTTATTTCATTTAATCTGGTTTTCATCAAGCCTTATAACCGCCCTGCGGGGGGGTGGGGGGCGCTGCAAATACTGCTATCCTAATTTGCAACCCGGTAAACACGCCAAAAGTACCTTTCTTGTTTCTCACCTCTCATAGGTCAGGGTGCACAAGGTTCATCCTGGCAGTTTAAAGAGAACTTTTACAGCTCCCCCTCCCCGATTTCTGATTCAGCAGCCCAGAACCTCAGTCTCTGGTTTTGAACATGAACCCTAAAATTGTAGTACCTGCAGTATACCGTTGTAAGAAAGTCTGTTGACTGGGCTGGAGAGGTGGCTCATGGGTTGAGAGCACAGGCTGCTGTTGCAGAGGACAAGGGTTCAGTTACTCACAGCACCCACATGGCAGCAAACAACCCTCCATAACTCCAGTTCCAGGTGATTCGACGCCATCACTTGACCTCTACAGGCATTGCACACATGGGTGCACTTACATACATACATGCAGGCAAAATACTCATACACATAAAATTAAAAATAAATCAAAGCCAGGAATGGTGGCACAGGCCTTTGATCCCAGCACTCAGGAGGCAGAGGCAGGCAGAGCTCTGTGAGTTCAAGGTCAGCCTGGTCTACATAGTTCCAGGACAGCTGGGGCTGCAAGGAGACCCTGTCTCAAAAAGACCAAAATAATAATAAAAATAATTCAAAAGTTATATTAAAAGAAAGTCTGTTGAATAAATCTTCACCAAACCACAAATCTGTGCTAACCCAACCCCTAGTCCTCTCACCAAACCTCTGGCCTTCCTCTTCTAAAACTCCTAGTTAATGAGCCCTCACCCTTTCCAATCTCAGTTCTGTCCAGCTCTGTGGCCCCACTCCATCCCTGAATTCCCTTAGTTGGACAGGCAGATGGCTCCCCAATTTCTGCAATCTTGCTGTCTTTCTCAAAATCCCTCTAGTGAAATGCTTGTTGCTTAAATCCCTTCTCCCCTCACCCCACCCTTCCACTGGCTGATCCAGGAAGCTATCATGGATGGCACAGAGATTGCAGTGTCCCCTCGGTCACTGCATTCGGAACTCATGTGCCCCATCTGCCTGGACATGCTGAAGAATACAATGACCACCAAGGAGTGCCTCCACCGATTCTGCTCTGACTGCATCGTCACAGCCCTGCGGAGCGGGTAACAACAGGGAGGTTTGAGATGGTGTGAAGGGGCCCTGGTCTTTGGTGAGGGGAACTAACCCCCCAGGGCTTCCTTTCTCCCGTCCTAGCAACAAGGAGTGTCCTACCTGCCGAAAAAAGCTAGTATCCAAGAGGTCTCTACGGCCAGACCCCAACTTTGATGCCCTGATCTCTAAGATCTATCCTAGCCGGGAGGAATACGAGGCCCATCAGGACAGAGTGCTCATCCGCCTCAGCCGTCTGCACAACCAGCAGGCACTGAGCTCCAGCATCGAGGAAGGGCTTCGGATGCAGGCCATGCACAGGTGTGGAGGTCTGGAGCCGGGCCACTCCTAGCAGGGCTGGAGGGGTGGGTCCGTGGGTCAGCCTTCTCCTACTGTCCTTGCCGTCTGCCAGCCTCTGACCTCAGTATCCTAAGAGCTTCCCACAGCCCGATTGTTCAGTCTGGAAATTGTGGGTGCAAACCGCAGCTGCTCTGCTATCAGAAAAAGGAGATTCCCCCTCTAACCTTCTAGAAGTTAGAGCAGTCCGGTGATTTTGCACATACACTTCCTAGGCCAGCATCTGTCAGCCTGTAATATATTGTCCATATACCTGTGGGTCTTGTTTCAAATGTGAACTGAGTGAGGCAGTCTGGAGTCGGGCCTGACAGCCTGGATTTCTCAGGCTGCCAGAAAGGGATTATGTAGCTATTCTTGAACCACTTTGGGGTCAAGTGCCTCAAACAAGTTCCTAACTCTCTAAGCCTATTTCTTTAGCCATAAAATAGAGACTGAGTACGTTTGGTACATTGTCAACATGTAATAAATATTTGGTGTTACAGTTAGAATGTCCCTGAATTCTGAATTCTCTGAAGTTTGTAAAGTCTTTAAGACCTTGATTCCTGGTGCTTTCTAACCTGGACCACTTGCTTCTACAGGGCCCAGCGTGTGAGGCGGCCAATGCCTGGATCTGATCAGACCACCACCATGAGTGGGGGCGAAGGAGAGCCTGGGGAGGGAGAAGGGGATGGAGAGGATGTGAGCTCAGACTCCGCCCCTGACTCTGCCCCAGGTCCTGCTCCCAAGCGACCCCGAGGAGGGGGCGCAGGGGGCAGCAGTATAGGGACAGGGGGAGGTGGTACTGGTGGGGTAGGTGGTGGTGCTGGTTCGGAAGACTCTGGTGACCGGGGAGGCACCCTGGGAGGGGGAACCCTGGGTCCTCCAAGCCCTCCTGGGGCCCCCAGTCCCCCAGAGCCAGGTGGAGAGATCGAGCTTGTGTTCCGGCCCCACCCCTTGCTCGTGGAGAAAGGAGAATACTGCCAGACTAGGTAAGCAGCCCTGCCTTTCCCTATGGGACCACCAAGAAACCACACTTCACAGATTTCTGTCAGGCGGGCGTGGGCTTCAGGCCTGGGGATGTAGCTCACTTGGTAGAGTGCTTGCCTAGTATGACACCCTGAGTTTGCTCTCCAGCACCACATAAACCAGACTGGTATATGCCTGCAATCTCAGGCAGGAGGACCAGAAGTTGAAGGTCACCCTCAGCTACGTAACAAGCTGGAGGCCAACCTGGGATACATGAGACTTATCTCAAAAACCAAACAAATAAAAATAATAGGCTTCACCCAAACCCCCAACCAGCCTACCAGCCTTTCTGGAAAGTGCCCCGGGAAAGTGCCTGCTCCTGTGACCCAGCTTCTTCATCCTCCCTCCAGGTATGTGAAGACCACTGGGAATGCCACAGTGGACCACCTCTCCAAGTACTTGGCCCTACGCATTGCCCTGGAACGGAGGCAGCAGCAGGAGGCGGGCGAGCCTGGGGGCCCTGGCGGAGGCACCTCTGACACGGGTGGACCTGATGGGGGTGGTAGGGAGAGTGGGGGTGCTGGAGGAGGCGAAGGTCCTGAGGAGCCTGCCCTGCCCAGCCTGGAGGGTGTCAGCGAAAAGCAGTATACCATCTACATCGCCCCTGGGGGCGGAGCATTCACGGTGAGCGCCTAATAGCAATAGCAGGGACCAAAGGGAAGGAGGGCCACCCCCTTACCCTTGCTCTTGTGTACTCCTCTGTCCGCCCTCATCCTTCCATGGGCTCCATATTTTTTATATCAATAGCTTTTCTTCCCTTTTCCTCCAATCCATTTCCTTTTCCATCTTCAACTTTTTCTCCCCCTGCCTCTCTCTGTTTCCTCCCTAGACACTGAATGGCTCCCTGACCTTGGAGCTGGTGAATGAGAAATTCTGGAAGGTGTCCAGGCCACTGGAGCTCTGCTATGCCCCCACTAAGGACCCAAAGTGAACCCCACAAGGGGACAGCCAGAGGATCGAGAGCACAGGGAATCCCTGTGTCCTGACACCTTGCCAGCACATCTCCCAGTGCCCCCAGCCCAGCCATCCAGCCAAGAGGACACAAATGAGGGCAAATGACTTTTATACAAAGTATCTATCAGATTCTTCTATATTGTACAGCCCAGCACAGTGCTTCTTTACTGCCTTTTCTATTGACCCCCAACCCTGCACCTGTTCCAGGTAATGGGGAGTTAAGCAAGCTCCCCTTCCCACCCTCCTAACCAACAACAAATTTGCTTATTTCTTCTTTGAAGTCAGTTCTGTGTGCGTTTATCAGGGACATACAGGAAAAAAGATTGGGCCAGGCATGGTGGTGCCTGCCTCTTGGGAGGCAGAGGCAGGCAGATCTCTGTGAGATCAAGGCCAGCCTGGTTTACATATGAGTTCCAGGCCAGCTGGGGCTACAGGGAGACTTGGGGAGGAAGGACGAGAATCTGCAGGGAGTCAGCCTTGGAAATGGAGGGGTGTTGGAGGGGTAATGTCTCCAGTCAGAAAATGTGAATGAAGATCTGGAGGAGCTGGTTGTGGCATATGCCTTATTTTTGGGATCTGCTTGGCAGAGCCAGGAGGATTGCCAACAATTGGAAACTATATGTAGTGAGTTCCAGGCCAGCCTAGACTACAGTTACACTTTTTCTCCAAAAACCAAAAGGGGTTGGGGAGGAGAATGGAGAATAGGGAAGGTCATCTGTGAAGCTGGAGGAGAGAGGGTAAAGGTGGGCAGATAAGGTAATAGTAAGCTTGTCCACACAGCACTAATCCCAGACTGAAGCCCAGCTTCTGTGCCCAAGATGCAGAATGTGACCACACTAAAGCTTGTCTGTCTCTGCTGAAAAGGCAGGGGCACTGATGTTTACAAAGGTGACTTGTGTCACCGCCAAAGCTGGTGTCTGGAGCTGGTTGGAAAAGGGAGGAGCTAGGGAAGGTTGTGAGAGAACCTGACAGCCTCTGCTCCAGGCTGGGGCCCACCACTCCCAGGACTGCAGCCTGGGAATTAGCTCTGAGCTCATTCTGGATGACATCAGAGCAGAGGGGGCTGGAATTCCCAGGATGCAGCTTGCTTCAAGCCCAGGGCTGCTGGCAGGAAGATACTCCCCACCCCAGGTCCCTGCCTCTTCTTAGGCATTTGTGAGCAGCCTGGCCTGCAAGTGAAGTCGCTTGGCCTCCCTTCGAATTCCTAGTCTCTACCCCCTCCATCCTGGGACCCTCAAGCATAGTCCACACAGGCGAGAATCCTCCAGACACCCCCACCCCTGCAAATACAGCAGCCCTGGCAATCTGCCCACCCCAGGGTGTCCTGCAGAAGTACATGGCATCCGCTTGCCCTGGACCCCATGACCCCACACCCCTTTTTTTGGCTCCCCACAGGCAGCAGTGTTTGGGCACCTTGCCCCTGGAGGCCCAAAGGGAGTTGGCTTCTGTTCTGAGCCATTCCCTCTCCTCCCACACCTGCAGGAAGAAGTGTCCCCCCTCCCTCATTCCCAGCCAACTTAGCAGTGTCTGAGTTGCTGCCTTCACTCTGGAGCACCCTCTCCTTTGCATTTCTCTGTCTCAGCCCCCAGGGCCACCTTCATCCCCCTCTTGCCAGTTCTCCCTCCTTTGCCCCCCATGTGACTGAACTTCATGGACACAGCCACCTAACTTAGGGGACACCGTGTGGGAGGCCTGCAGGAGGCTTCCCTGGGTAAGTGTCCCCCACCTCAACCAGGCTTTCCAAGTCCCACCCCCACCCCCTGTGCACAGAGGAGGGGCCGTTTGAATGGGAGCTCCAGGTGGGTACCTCTTCCCTCTTCCCAGACACACACGGGTATTTCCTTCACACAGCCTGCCCGCTACTGACTGACCTCAGCCAGGTGAAAGACACAAAACACACCACTAGAGCGTCCTGCCAAGCAAGGAGGCACGGAGAGGAGAAAGCAGTCCAGCGGGTCTGGGATCAGATAGTTAATCTGCCTGCACAAGCCACTGGGCTCTTGCTGTGGTGTCCTGGCATGCAAGATGGGAAGAATAGGTGAGGTGGCAAGGCCAGTCTGGGCTACCTAGGTGAGACACTGTGTGATTGTTAGAGTTGTCAACTTGATAGAATTTTGAATCACCTAGGTGACAAGCCTTGAAGACATGCCTGTGAGACTATCTAGATACCCTCTTAAAATATCTATGAAGAGATTTGAGGGGGGAGGCTTTTTTGAGACAGGGTCTTCCTGTAGCCCCAGCTGACCTGGAACTCACTATGTAGAATTCTTTTTTTTTTTTAATGATCCATATGTTTACTTTTTATTAAATTTTTAGTGTTGCAGAGTTCTTACACCACCAAACCATGCCTGAGAATCCAGAAAAGAACAGTACAATGAGCAGCCTTACCCACCCACCATACAGTGTCTTAAAACTTGATTTATGTTGGGGCTGGAGAGAGGCTCAGCGGTTAAGAACACTGGCTGTTCTTGCAGAAGATCCAAGTTCCAATCCCAGCACCCACATGGCAGCTAACAACTGTAACGCCAGTTCCAGGGATCCAACAGCCTCTTCTGACCTCCTCAGGCATTGCACAACACAGGTACACTTACCTACACACAGGCAATACACGCATACACATAAAATAAAAATAAAATATTTTTTAAAAACTTGATTTATGTGCATTTTGACAATTTCACAACCTTAAAAAATTATAACAAGAATTGGAATTTACATCTGCTGCAGAATTCTTTTTTTATTTTATGTGGATGAGTATTTTGCTTGCATGTAGGTAAGTGTACCACGTGTATGCAATGCCCATGGCGGTCAGAAGAGGGCTTCCGATCCCCTGGAATTGGAGTTAAGGTGGTTGTTAGCTGCCTTGTCAGTTCTGGGAACCTCACCCCAATCCTCTGAAGAATTGTCTTAATTATATTAATTGATATGAGAGACTCATCTTAATTGTGGGCGGGACCATTCCCTGGGCAGGGGATCCTGGACTGTGTAAAAAGAAGAAAGTGTGCTGGGCATGGTGATGCATCGCTTTAATCCCAGCACTTGGGAGGCAGAGACTGGAGGCTCTCTGGGAGTTCAAAGCCAGGTTGGTCTACACAGCAAGTTCCAGGCCAAATAATAAATAAATAATAAAAATAAATAAATAAATAAAATGGCAGGTGAGGGGCTCCCATTTATATTTTACTGAGAGAGCTCAGGAGTTAAAAGTTGCTCTTCCAGAGGACCCTAGTTCAGTTCCCAGCACCAACATGGTGGCCAGCAGTTGTCCAAAACTTCAGTTCCTGGGCCTCTGTGGGCAGAAACATCCATGTTTGCACCTACATCCATGTAGGCAAAACACTCATACACATAATTTTTTTAAAGGGGGTCAAAGAGGGCTTTGCCACAGTGCAGCTCTTGGGAGTCTTGGTCCCAAGCTCTGGTCAGGGTCCTTGGTGGTCACCATCTACAATGTAGAGGTCAGTGCAGGAGAACCTCTGGGAGTCATGAGGTCACTGCTTGAGGTGGGGAACAGTGAGGTGTAGTGAGTGCAATCAGGAGTTGGTATCAGGGAGCCCAGGGCCAGGGCAGGCCTAGGCTGCAACTTCTCCCTGTAACCTTGAAAAAAACCATCATACCTCCAAAATGGAGAGTGCCCTCTCCCTAAACTCTTGACCCTGGGCCACACCTGTGGGACAGCCAAGGTCAGGGGGAGGAAAAGAAAGTAAATCCATTCTCCCCAGTTAAAATTAAGTATCTCCTGTCCTCCATCTGTGAAATTTGACCATTCTTTTGAATTTGTGTCATGAATGGATCCCATTCCCTAGAGTTTTCCTGGCAAGGTCATTTTTAAAAGACTATACTTTCAGGGATCATTTCTATAGTTTGTTACTAGAGAAGTTTCTCTGACTGTGTAGAGTACCTAAGACCATGAGGAGGAGACGCATTCTCTCCTGAGCGTGAAGCCGGCTCTAGGTGTTGCTTTAACTGCAACTGCTTTTTACCACTGATGATCGTTCTTATCTCCCTCAGGAGAGTAGAGGAAGAGAATGCAGTCTGAGTGGTTTCTTTAAAAAAAAAAAAAATTAAAAAAGATAACTGCGTCCCCAGATCTCCATGATCTCCTCCATCCAATTTTAGTCCTCAGGGTTGGAGAGATGGCTCAGTAGTTAAGAGCACTGACTGCTCTTGCAGAAGACCCAGGGTTTGGTTCCCGGCACCCACACAGTGGCCAAGAACCATACTTAACTCCATACTTAACTCCAGTTTCAGGGGATCCAATGCCCTCTTTTGGCCTCTGTGGACATTGCATGCATGTGGTACACTTATATACATGTAGGCAAAACATTCATACATTAAAAAAAAAAAAATTCATACGTTAAAAAAAAAAAAAAATTCATACGTTAAAAAAAAAAAAGAATTAAAAAAAAAATCCTAGCCCTCCACTAATCTATCCAACCTATCAATTCCCCAGAGGCTGCTGGGTACCTTATCCAGGCACTGAGGCCACACCTGCACCTTCATCAGATGTTGCCATTACCTGTGCCCCTCCTGCCTGCCATACTTCATCCTGGACTTCTAAAATCCTTGTTGAAATTGACTAGGAATAAAGCCCTGAAGGAAGATCCTTTTGTCCACACTGGAGACATTTTAGAAGAAATGTCCAAGGAAAAGAGGAGAAGTAGGGGTAGAGACCAGGGGAAGAAGCCCAGAGAGGGTCAAGGGGGAAAAAGTGAGAGGGGAAAGCTGTGTGAGCCAGGCACACTGGAGCGGGGCATGGAGGCACATTCCTGTAACCCTAAACACACAGAGGTGGAGGCAGGTGGATTGGAAGTTCAAGATCATCCTTGGCTACATATTGAGTTCCAGGCTGGGGTACGTGAGACCCTGTCCCAAAAGGGGGAAAGGGAAAGGAAAGGGGGTGTAAATCTCAGAATAAATTTAGGAGGAAACATCCCCAGGGGACCACCCACTAAAAAGTTCAGTTACATGATTCCCTAGGGGTGCTAAGGAACTGAGTCAGCACCCTAAGCACTTGCAAACTAAGTTGGCCGTTTGCACCTTCCATAAAACTTGCTCAGTGTCTTCGGCATCTGTTGGGAAGCTGGCTCTAAACAAAGACTCAGCCAGCAGTCCCCTCCACCATGCCCCTCAACCCAGCCAAGAGGGAGCTGCCATCATTCACCTATGCAGAAGGTTCCCTTGGGGAAGCTACTGGCTTAGGCAACAGTAACAGGTTTGTTGCTGTCCCTATTGCAGGATAGGGAGGCCCTTAGTTCTTGTAGTAACTTGCTTCAAAGTATATTCTTTGGAGTTTGGCAACATTTTTCTCTGTGATGCCTTAGAGACTGATAATTGACACAGAAAAAATAAAAAGAATTGAATACCTTTATCAGAGAAAGGGTCACGAGAGACCAGCACTCTGCCATCACCCTTTCAGGAAGTGTCTATTACACAGCCAAGAACCTGGACTTTGTTTTTCTTTTTTTGGTCTTTTTTGAGACAGGGTCTCCCTGTGGCCCCAGCTGGCCTGGAATTCGCTATGTAGACTAGGCTGGCCTTGAACTCACAGAGATCCGCCCACCTCTGCCTCTGAGTGCTGGGATTAAAGGTGTGCGCCACCATGCCCAGCTTGTTTTTCTTTTTTTCTTTTTATTTTTTTTTTCTCTCTTCCAGACAAAGTCTCTGTAGGCCCAGCTGTACTGGAACTTACTATGTAGACCAGGCTGGCCTTGAACTGAGAGATCTGCCTGCCTCTGCCTCGGGAGTGCTGGGATTAAAGGTGTGCGCTACCACGCCCATCTTTGGAATTTGTTTTTTTTTTAATACTTTATTTTTATTTTATTTTCTTATGTGTGAGTGTATTGTCTGCATGTATGTAAGTGCACCCATGTCATGCAGTGCCCTCAGAGGTCAGAAGAAGGCATCGGATTCCCCTGGAACTGGAGTTAAGAACAGTTGTTAGCCACTACGTGGGTGCTGGGAATCGACCGGGTCCTCAGCAAGAGCAGTCAGACCTCTTAACTGATGAGTCTTATCTCCAGACCTGGGATTTGCAAAGAGGCAGATAACAGGCTCTGCCTTCAAAAGACTTGATATGGGGTCCAGGCGCAGTGGTGCACGCCTTTAATCCCAGCACTTGGGAAGCAGAGGCAGGCAGATCTCTGTGAGTTCCAGGCCAGCCTGGTCTACAGCCAGGTCAGCTGGGATTACAGGGAGACCCTGTCTCAAAAAGACCAAAAAAAAAAAAAAAGACTTGATATGGAACACCTTTTTGGGGTGAGCAACTGTGTATGGAATTTAGTGTCTAGTGCTATCATTGGGGGGGGGGCGTGTTTTGAGACGTCTCATCCTGGGCTGGCCTTGAATTCAGTACATAGTAGAGGATGGCCTTGAGTTCCTCATCCTCCTGCCTACACCTTCCTAATGCTGAAATTGCTAAAATTACAGGTATGTACTACCACCTCCAACCTATGCAGTGATGTCGATGGAACCCAGAGTTTGTGCGAACTAGGCTTACACTCTCCCAACTGACTAAGCCTTGGCCTTTTTTTTTTTCAACTTCTGAGCCTCCTGCCTCCTCCTCTCAAGTGCTGGGATCATAGGCTCGTACATACAACTAGTTCTCTCAATCTTATCTGCTGTAATACAGCTCTAGTCAGTCTTTTGGGTCCCTCGGCCTCCCTGGCCCACCACCATCTGGACCATTTGGCCTTCTCTGAATCTGTGCAGTAGCTGAAGAGGCTTGGAATGTCTTCTCTCTCTGATATTCTTTGCATGCCTAAAGGAGAGAGGTCTCAGGTTTGAGCTGTGCTGTGCAGGTGCCCAAGGAGACCAGAGGCAGGCATTGGGTCCTCCTGGAGCTGGGGTTATAGGCAGTTGTGTGCCACCTAATGTGGGTGCTGGGAAACAGCTCAGGTCTTCTGGAAGAGCTATACATACTCTCTACCACTAAGCCATCTCTACAGACTCTGGGTTTTGGTTTGAATGAAGGTCTTGGTATGTAGCCCAAGTATAGAACTTAAGATCCTCATGCCTCCTCCTCTGGGATCACAGGCCAGTGCCCATCTTCTTTTTATTTTATGTGTATGAGTGTTTTCCCTGCATGTGTAGGCCCATGTGTGCAATGCCACAGAGGCCAGAAGAGAGCATCAGATCCCCTGGAACTGGTTGTTAGCTCCCATGTGAGTACTGGGAACCAAAGTGGGGGTGGGTGTCTAGCCCCCATAGAGATATTTTTAAAATGCAAATCTGATTGTTTCAATCACCCTCCCTAAACCCATTCAATGGTTGTCCATTGATCTTAGATTGAAGACCCAAGCCCTTATCCTTAACCTGGCCTCTCTGGCCCTGTGAGGGGTGGCCCCACCTCTCCAGCCCGACTGCCCAGTTTGCTTTCTAAGCCACTCCATGGGCTCCTGTTCCAGTTCCAGTTCCGTCATGCTTCCTCTGACAAAGAACCTTTGAGTTCACTGGACCCATGGCCTGAAAGGCTCCTGCCTGTGTGCCTGCCTTGATCAGCTCTTCATTCTCAGACCTCAGCACCCTCTGCACACCCTCAGGGAAGGGTCAGAGCCCTTTCAGGCTCGCTCAGCTTCTCTCTTCGGAAGCCCCACCCCAAAGGGCACCTTCCATAGAGACATTTGGCACATCTGCACTTCTGTGTTGTAGGTGACTATTTGATCGATGTCTGCACCTCTGTAGAAGGTAGGCCCTCTGAGGGCTGGGACTGGGACTGCAGGTGCTCACCTTTGCCTTTCCTTGGATCTAGCAACAGGCACTCCACAAACATTGGCTGACGGAATTTATGTATGCCAGAATCTGGGGCAGGGGAATCTAGATGTTTCCAGAGTTCAGAGAGGATAGACAGGCTGAAAGTCATGCAAGACCCTCCCTCCACGAGTTGCAGCTCCGGAGTCTCCTATGCCATTTCCTCTAGCCCACTGATTCCTCCATATTTCCTGTTGGCATACAGCTCCATTTCCTGCCTTCACCCGGCCATCTCCATCTTGCCTCCTTCAATGCCTCTTTCTGGTTTTGTCTCATCAGCCTCGAAAGGCATGCCTTGCAAGGGAAAACGAAACAAAAGCACAGGATTGAGAACAAGGAAGTCTGGCCAGTATGGTGGCACAGGCATGTCGTCCCAGCTACTTAGCAGGCTGAGGCAGAAGGGCTGAAAGTTCAAGGCCTGGGCTGTGGATGTGGCTCAGCTGATAGAAGAGTGCTTGCCTAGCATGCATGAAGCCTTAGGTTTGATCCTCAGCATTTCATAAAGTGGGTGTGGTGGTACACATCTGTAATCTCAACACTTAGGAGATGGAAGCAGGAGGATCAGGTTAAGCTACTTGCTGCCAAGCCTGACAACATAAGATTGATTCCTGGAACCCAGGATGATGGAAGGAGAGAACTGACTTTCAACTCTCAAAAGCTCTCCTCTAACCTCCACACCTGTGTCATGGCACACACACCCACAAAATAAGTAAATAAGCGTTGGAGAGATGGGTCAGCAGTTAAGAGCTCATACTGTTCTTCTGGGGGGCCAGAGTCTGGTTCTAAGCACCCACACTGGACACTCACAACTGCTGTTGTAACTCCAGCCCCAGGGGATACAACACCATCTTCTGGCATCATCAGGCATTGCACCCACATGCACATACCCACACACAGACACACATACACATATAAAACTAAAAATGTCTTTGAAATATAAGTGTTTAAAAAAATAAGAACAGGGAGCCAGGCCTGGTGGCATACATCTTTAGTTCCAGCACTGGGGGGCAGACACAAGCAGATCTCTGTGAGTACAAGGCCAGCTCAGTCTACAGAGCAAGTTCCAGGCTAGCTGGGGCTACAGGGAGATCCTGTCTCAAATATGTATGTATAAATAAATATATATGTAAACATATATATATATATACATACAAAGCAAAAAACAAAAAAAAATGAGTAGCTGGAGAGATGATCTGCTGAGTGGTTAAGAGCCGGCTGCCCTTAGCTGGGTGTGGTGGCACATATCTTTAATCCCAGCACTTGGAAGACCTCTGCAGAAGAAAGACAGCTACAGG